ACAACATTCTAGGACATGCAGGAATCCCAGGATAAAGGAAACCTGAATTTCTAAATAAGCTACAGCCACCCATCAAAGAGACCCACCAGCCACTAGACGGCTAATAAGAACATTCTGCATTCTAGAAGCCACTGTTTTTGGACATCCTTGTCTCAAGCAGTTTGTTTACCTCTATGCCCTAACTAACACAGGAAGTAGAAACTGTGACTGTAGAAACCACTCTTTTAATAAGTCTGAGTGTGTGGGAAGGAGAGGAATAAATAAGACAGTTGCTGCAATGTTTTATCGCAAAGGCGAGAGGAAGGTTGGCTGCAAGGGAAGCTGCGGGACTGCGCTCAGCTCCCTTTGCTCTGGCTCAATCAATTTGCTCGTGTCCACCAGGGAATTCATGCCTTGTAGAACCTTGAGGCAGGATAGACCTAGCTGGGCCTGACTAACTGAGTCCCCTGTTCCACTGTCTCCTTTTCTGGAAGTAATATACACTATAAAATTTAAAATGGTGTGTAAGTGACCTAGTTGTAGGAAGTACATGTTGGATTTTTAACTTCTTTACATTTTATTTTTAAAGAAAATTGTGTGTATGTGTCTCTGTGTGAGTTCCTGTGTGTAGGTACACACACAGACACTGGTGTATGCATGTGTAATCTATGTGTGGAGATCAGAGGACAGCCTTGAGTGTAGGACCTGATGCCTTCCACCCTTTGGGTGAGATGTGGTCTCTCATGACCTAGAACTTCACCATGTACACTAAGATGACTGGCTGATGAGTTTCCAGGGACCCTCCTGCCTCTGCCTGCAAAATCAGTGACCTTCCACACATGGCTTTTTGTGTGGCTTCTGAGGATACCTTCAGGCCCTTATGCTTGCCCAGACATGTACTGTATTTACTGAGCCTACACCCAGTTCTGATTATTTAATGCTTACATGAACACCATTCTAAATGAACCACCCATGCCCAGGATTGCCTCTTATAACAAAAGGAACACATATGCACTGTGCATTAAAGGGTGCAGAGAAGAGCAAGGGGACATCTTAAAATAACAACAGCTCTCAGTCACTAAGCTCTTCAAATGTTCCTGTTCTATGCAAGGGCTGTCTGCAAAACCTGCAAACCAAGTCTCACCACTATCAGCAACACTTTCCAGTTCCTGGGCCGAACTTATATGGGTTAGTCTCATATAAATTAGACTTTGACAGTTTGCCCTTGACTGGCTTTTTACTTCTGTCAAGAGCCATTCATAAAGACTCAAGTTAGGAGGAAATGCTGAGTTGTATGTCAAAAATTGAAAAAGGCTGAAACTTAAAAATGGATCCACATTTATAAAGTACTGAAATCAATTCTTCATACATATCTTTTAGACCCTCAAAAGGTTATAACACCTAAGAAGCTTGACCAATAAAGTTGTGAAAATCTGTAAGCCTTATATCTAAAGCAAAAATTACCCTGGGTTTGGGGCATAGTAAATATTGTAAATGAACACTGCATGGTACTAATTAAAGAATTCTATGTGTTTGTTAAAATGGCAAGTGAAAGTCATATTGAGAGCCTGAGTGCCTTTAGGATTTTGGTGATGGATGACTCACCAAAGCTGAGCTGGATACTTAACACACTGTGGCAGTTTGAATGTAATTGGCCCCCATAAGCTCATAGGGAGTGGTACTATTAGGAGGTGTGGCTTTGTTGGAGTAGGCATAACCTTGTTGGAAGAAGTGTGTCAGTGTGGAGGTGGACTTTGAGGTCTCATATATGCCCAAACCAATGTCTGAGACTATTTCCTGTTGCCTTCTGATCAAGATGTAGCCAGCACCAGGTCTGCCTAAATTCTGCCATGCTCCCCACCATAATGATAATGGGCGGAATCTTTGAACTGTAAGTGCCATCTCAATTAGATGGTTTCCTTTATAAGAGTTGCCAAGGTCATGGTGTCTCTTCATGGCAATAGAAACCCTAACTAAGACACACACCTATAAAGATGGGGACATAGATCAAGTTCAGAAATGATATCTGTGATCCTCAGAAAGCATGTGCCTTGGCCTGGCTTTCAGGAGAGAGAAGGGTGAAGGGATAAAAGTATAGGACCAAGGATTAGAGTGACACAGGAGATGCCTGTGAAGTACTGAGCTTCTCCCATGGTGAGAGTGTGACAAATATTAATACATGTTTGTAAGACTTTTTATAGCAATTTTGCCATTAGCCTAGAAGAGACAAGGCCCCTTGGGATTTGCGTTAGTCAGGGTTCCCAGACAAACAGATTCTATAGCATCTATTTGTCTAGATCTTATCATTTTAACCTTGTTGTTGTTGTTTTTAGCTGAACACAGGTCTGGTAGCTGCTAGACATCAAGTGCTCTGCCACTGAGCTACATCCCCAGCCCTTGTATGTATTTATCACGAGAGGCTTGTTCTAAAGAACTGGCTCACATGATCATGGCTGCTGAGCAGTCCTGTGATCTATTATCTGCAAGCTGGAGGCTCGGGAAAGCTGACAATGTAATTCAGTCTCAGTCCAAATGCCTGAGAACTGGAGAAACCAATGCTGTAAATCACAGCCCGGGGCTGGCACTGAAGAGCAGTGTCTCAGCTGAGGTGGTGAAGCAGGAAATGAAGAGCCAATTCCTCCTTCCTCTACCTGTTCTCTATTCTAGCACTCAGTGGTCAGCGTGAGGCCCACCCACATCAGAAAAGGCAATTTACTCTGCTGAGCCCACCCACTCAAGTAGGTGCTAATCTCATCCAGAAACACCCTCACTTTCATCCGTAGTCAGACAAGCCAGCAGATAGAATTACTACCTATCACACACGGCCACTGTCTCTCGATGAGGTTGTAACATGGCCCTGGTGAGAGTCTCTGAAGAGTGACGGAGGCTGAGACCAGGAGAGGTCACATTCTCAGCCCAGAGCCACATTTTCAGACCCAGTAGACTTTATAGGTAGATCCACCCATCATCAAAGAAAGGATGCCTGCTTCTTCCACTTACCCATGCAAAAGGGAGAGGTAGAAACAGCTGCTTACTCCAAATTGACTTGATATCTACGATCATAAGTGAGTATTTCACTGGCTAGAACTCCATCTATGACGCTCAAGGCCCACCTGTCAGTATGCAACAATGAGTTCAAGAAACAGTTATCTGGCCACTATAGGTACTTTCCCTGGGACAAAGGGAGGCAAACATATGGTCCCAAATAGAATGATGGTTAGAATTCAGTAATTCTCAAGTGGTTAGCTTACTGTTCATGGTAAGAAATATATTCACATACACATATACATATAAAAAGTGATGTGTGATGCACTTGAGATTTTCTATTCTGTTTCAAAATTACTTATTGGACCAACTTGCCAATTCTGTGGAGTACTCACTGGGTGGTCATATGTGGTTCTACAAATGACAGTTTGGGTTATCAGAATGGAATGATAGGAATCATATAGGTTAGCTGACTAACAAGTTAGGGCAATTTTTCTTGCTTGTTTTCTAGATTTAGCCTTCCTTCCTTTTGAACTTGTTCCTCTTCTCTGAACATTCAAAGTGCTTGTCTTGTATCTAAACAACTGCCAATCAGCAGCCTGGTATTGCTGGCATGGACTTGGACCCACCCGTGGACTTCTGCAGAAGACAACAAATGGAATGCACAATGGAGAAGGGGACAGCGTGCTAACATGGCTAAGGCCAGCCAGCCAGAAGGGACAAAGGCAAGATGTTCAAAGCTCACCTATCAGAAAGTTCTAGAAGGGAATCACAGACAAAGAGAGAAAGGAGAAGACATACCGGGAGAAAGGAGAAGACATACCGGGAAGAGCTTGGTGCCTTTCACAACTCCTTTTACTCTCCATCCTATCAACTTGGCTGAAAGAGCCACACCTCTCTGCCTCTGCCCTATTCAGCCCTTCCAGAACTTTTCTTTAATGTTTTCTCCCCGGTTTCCAAATCCCTACCTACAGGGATGTTGCAAAGATCATTCTCCTTTTTGTTTAGACCTTGCCTCTGGCAAGCCCATAACTTTCCCCACCAGGAAGAATGTCTTTGTAGACAAGAGGAGGTACCTCAATGCTTTCCCTGATGTTCCTTCCACACAGGAGGAGGAACGATGCCAGCAAGGAGCATGTATCATTAGCTGTCTTGCTTCTCATAGCTCATCCTTGCAAAAGCAGAGCATCAGGCTGCAGAAACCACCCATTGACCCTGCAACTGGCTCAAAAAGTTGACTGTCAGTAATTAGGAAGAAGTTATGTTAGCTACTGATACACTGTTGCAAACAAACATGAGACAACTACAATGTGATTGAGGAGGGCTCCTGGTTTCAAAAAGCTCTCAGTCGGCTGAGGTGGGGAAGGTGTGACAACTCAGAACATGGCTCCTGGGGCATAGGGCAGAGGTTTGTTTATGTAGCAGCAGATCAGGGGGCAGAGAATCGGAACACAGGCCAGGACCAGAGGCAGGTATAACCTTCACAGGCCTGCCTGCGGTGGCCTGTGTCCACAAGCCACGCCCTACCACCTACAGACTCTACAGCCTTCAAAATGGCACAACATGCTGAGACCAAAGCATTCACAACATGAGCCAGACCCACACCATATCAGAAGCTTGGGATACGTTTAGCTCTTGAGAGAATGTAAATGACCAAGATCCATATTCTCCAGAAGTGCTGGGGGGGTGCGGGGCAGGTGTTCCCAAGATGAAAGTCTCAAATAGGGTTCAGCCTCAGTTGTGTGGAAACTCCATCTCTGAGTTGAATACCCAGTTCACAATGGAAAGGAATTAAAGAGTTGGATATTATTGGGCTGCTTGTCCCTCTTCTGTGAACTTTCTAAATACACACCCTGTATCTAAACGATTGGCATTTGGCAGCCTTATACCATGGGCATGGACCTGGACCTGCCCATACAGGTCCTGAGGAAGGGGCAGAAGAGAGAGCGAAGCCCTGATGCTGCTGGGTGGAGGGCGTGGCTGAGGCTGTGGGCTGAAAAGGGAACCATCAGAATCTAAAAGCGAAATCCTGATACCTCCTAGCTGGCTGCACTGTAGCCAGCTGCTCACAGATGTTCCCTCTCCATCAGAAGATAAAGATAGCCAGTAGCCATGGTGCCTTGTCCCACAGGGCCAGGTTCAGTTCTACCTCTTCCTCCTGCTTTAAAGAAAAGTGAAAAAGAAGGAGAGATTCCCGACTTTTCTTCAACATATTTAACTGTCACACCCAGGCATCACATTACCCAACAGACTTATCCATGAAAATAATGGGGCTGTCACTGTGGTCCAGGGGTAGAGAGCCTGCCTGGTATGCTTGAGGGTATTGTTTTGATCCCAGCACTGAAGAAAAGGAATAGAAAAAGGAAGGAAAGGAATTAGATTTGATGAAGGAACCATACAATTTATCCAACCAACCTATTACCCCCAGAACTCCCTGCTAGTACTGTTAGGTAGACCTGGATGGGCTGCCTGGCCTAACCCTGCCATTGGCACTGCGCAGCCAGACTCAGATAAATGGGGCACTTCTGGCAAGGGTGAAGGGACCAGACAACCAACAGCAATGCTGCAAATCCAGTCACAGCACAAATAGCAATAACCCACAATTCCCTGTTGATGGTCAGGTAGGCGCCATGCTTGCATCTGTAAGTTTCCCCTCGTTGTCTTGAGGAACAATTTCAAAGGAGACAAGAATGATTTTTTTTTAGCTTAGAGAATCAGAGGTTTTAGACCATGGTCAGCTTCTCCACTGCTTTCTGTCCACGGCAAGGCGGAAACATGGAGTAAGGGTAGAAGAGGCAAACTACTGTGCACCTTATGAAGGCCAGGAAGCAGAGGAGAAAGCAGAAAGCACGGACAAGATACATCCAGGACAACCCCATGTGACCTACTTCCTCTAATGCCGTTATATTATGAATTGATCAAGTCCATTGGTTAGGCTGATTACTTCTGAAGATACTCTCAGCTGGTAACTACAGTCTTAGTGTGTGAGCTGTGGAGGAAACATCATCTCTGCATCATAACATGCATCCTGCACATTAGGTCACCTCATGTTCATAAAATTTCTGTGGGCCATGCTACTTTACATCATTTTTTGTACAGGACACAGCTATGAGCCATAATAGTGTAGGGATGTGACTGGCAGTTCCAATTCTAAGATTAAATTCTTTCATCTAAGCTACACTAGCTTTAGTAGTTAAATAAAGATGTCACAGAGTTAATTGGAGGCACAGATCTTTTTGGTTATGTATAGTTCATGGTAGCTTAACTGAATCCTTCAGCAGGTCCCATCAATGAAGCTCATATGCAGCTCTGCTTCATTCAGTGTGAGGACAGAGGACAGCTGAATGCTAGGTTATTTGGAGAGACGAGGCAACATCTGAAAGGGCTTACACCCACACACCCACATAGCTGACAGGGAAAGGTGACAATTACAGATTAAAGTGGGAGAGAGAAACCATACACAGCACTTTAGAGCAAGGTAAAGGCAAAATGTAGTCAAAATACAAAACAAATCAAACAGCAGAACCAAACCCTAACACTAAAACCATTTTGTCCCTAAGTATTAAATGACAATTTTCCTTTGCTTAGGGTCCCACCATGAGCCCACAACTTCCCAGCTGACCTGGAGCTTGCTAATGTAGACCAGGCTGGCCTCAATAACATAGTAATCACTCTTACTGCCTAATGAATGTTGGAATTATAGGCATGTGCCACCATCCCTGGCCCTGAAGTCATATTTTTTGAAACCATCAATTTTCATTCATTCAACCAAATGGCCCCCACAACCACCACAAATCCTAGACATGCTATGCACCCCCAGCAGGGAGCAGAAAGGTTTTCTGGGAGCTGGCTATTTATCCTGTCTGGGGAAATCTGTATGCTCTAAATTTGAAGGGAATGTAGGAGGTGTCTCATTTTGTTTGTGGCCTCAGTGAAGTGAGATGTGTAGATTTTGTATTTCAAGGAACTGAGAATGTACTCAATGACTTGTTGCCTTTTGTCACAAGGTTTGGAGAGCAGTCAGTCAATAGAGGGGAGCAGCAATGAACAAAAATGAAGAGAAGAGTCTATAGAGGAAGTCATATACAAAATGGCCAGTATCTGGCAGGCCTGGGTGTAGGTAAGGCAGGGACACGAGCACTGCACACCTGATACATACATACACACATATGCACATACAGGCACACAGCTTCATGCACCCACTGTTCCCTGGGTGTTTAGGCACAGGAGCAGCTCTGCCTTGCCTCTGTGTCCTGACACTCCTGACACAGACACAGCCCCACCTTCACTACTGATGAGTACTACCGCCTACCTTCTACCATCTAGCTCCCCATACCTCTTCCGACAGAGAGCAGGAGGCAGGAGGAAAAGATGGAAATGACATAAGTTGATATCAGTCTCATTTTTCTTTGGAGTAAAGGAATTCTGGGCAGCATCCAGAGTCACTTGTGTTATTTTGACTCATTTTTCCAACACACTTTCAGAGTGGAATTCACATTAGCGTCCTTAGTGAGTTGCAGTCTCCTCCATAGCTCTCCCTCAACTTGGCACTGATACGAAATACTCCAATCAAAGAATGTGTAACTGGATACGGCACACGATCAAATGCTAGAGGCAATCATTGTTATTAACATAATCTCGATCGATCACAAGACTATAAAACAAAGCATGGCAGTTCTTGATAAAGCGAAGGCAGGTCCATGGTCTGTCTTAGAAGGCTGGTGCTGATGGTGGAGAAAGTACTCCGTGATGCCTAGTGTGGTTGGAAACATACATTAGGTATGCAGTACATCTTTTGCAATGATATTTTTCAGTGTTAAAAATACTATCATGCGCTGAAACGGAAAGTTTTTTAAAAAGAAAAATCCTCTTGGGATGCATCAATCCTTTGCCAGTTACTCAAGGATCATGGCTGGCACAACTTCAGTTGTTAAGCTTATGTTCTTATAGAAAGTAGATGTTAGGAGAAAAAATGATAAAAATGACATTAATATTGCATTTTTAAAAAAAACAAAATGGAGAAGTTCTAGAAAGTACCGAGATTCCAAATCAGCTAGCATTTGTGGTCTGATCCCTTTGCTACTGTTTTGGGAATATCGCTAGGGCTCTGTGACCTGAAAGGACAGGGGCGCTCACAAATTTTAAGTTTTGTGGATTCAACGTTTCTGAAAGGTTTTAATATCAGCCCTTCTGGACTGAAATTTAATACCTCTATGCTTGCATTCTTATTTTCAGTTCTGAGAGTGTCAGCAAAATGCTTGCATAATCCCCAGAATGTTCACAACGCCTGGTACTGCCCGAGGGTGTGATTTCTGGGCTCTGTCTGCACTTACACTGGGGGATGGAGCATAAGCAGAACTCACACGTAGGGATCCTTTTGTGTCTCTTTCAGGAGGGTGACAAACAATGTGTTTCATCTGCTTTGGGAACTGAGAGGAATAGCTCAAACACTGGCCTGTGCTTTGTGTTGTGGAACTCATAGGCTGTTACAGCCGAGGCCAGGGGCCTTTCACCGTACCCTAAATGGTCCATGCACTGCATTTCCAGTGCCAGATTGATTGGCAATGACTGCCCGGAACTTCCACAGCAAGGCCACATCAAAGCATTCAGGAGGAGTGCTGATCGGGGCTATCTGCTCTGGAGGGAAGATGAGAACTGAAAAGCAGAACTGGAGTATATCTGCTAGCCCCAAACATGCTCTCCTCTAGGTTTTTTTTTAAAAATAAAGCCTCCCTAAATAACTATTAACTTATAATCCTAATCATATAAATTACAGCAGGTTAGTTATTATGTGTTTCATAGTACACATTTTTCATTTATAGTAGCTACCATGCACATGTCCAGTTAACTCTCACCCACCCTGCACACTCTTGTCCTGACCATCTTTAGGTCATTTTCTATTGCACCTGCTCATTGTGCTGTTTCTACCTTTCTCTCCTCTGTTTGAACTACTTATTCACTAGTTTGATGATTACGTCAACACTCCAGTCTTCCATGTAGTATCCCCATGGCACGAAGGACCCTGTACTGTTGTCTTCATGCTGCTCTCCCATCCCCCCCACCTGTCTTGGTCCCTGGCACTCAACACATATTCACTACACATTTACTGAACGTCTTGAAGAGCAAGGATTCACCTATTTTCTCAGAAATATCTTTTCATTCCATCTCCTTCTAGGAGACAAGAACCAACAGAAAAAATTGAAGTCTTCACCCTGCCATATTTATTAGTTTAGTGACCTTGGGAATTAGAATATGGGTCTCCTCATTATTAAAATAAAGGCAGAGAGGAGAAAGTTTTCAAAATCACTTCTTGTAACGCCCTCACTTTTTAATATAAACATCTTACAAGGCTCACAGAGAGCCACAGCATGGTAAAGGGAGGAGGTTCATCTTCTCGGAGGGAAGGTGTAAGATGGAAGGCTCCAGTGACTGTTCCTGCACAGCCTGCCAAGAAGCCACCAAAGAACACAGAAACCCCATTTAAAATCTCTAAACATTTAAACAAGCATGAGTCCACTGGGAGTGGCAAAATAGTACAAAGAATTTCTGTGCACCTTCTCCCAGGCAGATCTCAGTGAGTTCAAGGACAGCCTGGTCAGCATGAGTTCCAGGATAGCCGGGGCTACATAGCAAGGCCCTGTCTCAAACAAAAATTAAGATGGTAAATGTAAGCTTTGTGTTTTAAAATCCCATCAAAACTGTAAAAATCATCCTCAAAAAATATGAATTTACTAGATGATTCCCCATGGTTGACGAACTGCAAAACTCTGGGATTGCATGAATGATTTGAGGTTGAAGCTGGGCATGGTGGTGCAAGCATGCACTAGAGGCTGAGGTAGTTGTGAGAGCTTTGAGGCCAGCCCTGACTCATGAAGAGACTCAGTTCATACACAAACTAGAAACAAGCACACTGATGCTGTGCCATGTCCACTTCCACTCAGGAGTGATGGGCAAACCTCCAGCAGGAGGTAAGATTCTACCCAAGTGAAGTGTAAGGAGAAACTTGAATCTGGTTTCTAGCAAGGGTGCTCCCACTGCTCGCCTTATTTTCTGCTTCCACTTTTTTTTCTACTAGTAATTCCCTGTTGGCTTTTTTATGGTCTCCAGAAGCAGGTTCCTCAGGTTTACTTAACTCCTGTTGATTTATTGAATGGTGGAAAC